GAACGCAGAATGCAGAATCTTAAATCATTAAAAATTGTTAAAACCTTTCATTAAACACAAATTATACAAATATGTTCACAAAGAAGAGATAACTATCGATAACCCTCAGTACAATTAAATATGACCTGAATGAGTTGTTGACACGCTGGTACAGCAAATAGAGTATAAATGGATTTAGACATTAAAGTAATAATGGAAAGGAAAATTTAGCAATTATTTATAATTAAAAATATTCCAAATTAATTTAGAGCGTAAACAGGAAAATATGAGATAAAAAAGTATTGTAAGTACAAATACACTAATACAAAATATGGCGTTTAGTGGCATAATTGGCAAAAATCTGCGATGTTTCTACTAATGCAGTAGTAGTGTAAAATCCCATATAGATAAAACAATAATATGGTTAATAATCATATTATTTCCAAAATGTATCGTATACCAAGTGATACAATATGTATTACAAAGATATTAGGATTGCAACGTGTATTCTTAGAAATCACGCGACAAACAATATTGGAACATTAAAAGCATATTCTAGATCTCTGAACCGTCTTAGAAAAATGAATAATTTGAATTTAATTAATAATGTCCACAAAAAAATCTACTTCCATTGTGGGAAAACCAGTTATTTTGATTTAGAACCTAAACTTCCTACTGAACGACTTTAACAAAATTTCTATGAAATCAATTTGTAAGTATATCTTTTCAGATGAAATAAAAATTATCTAAATCAGTTTATAACTGACGGAGTTAGAAGGTGACAAGCGTAAAAAAATTGAATCATTGACTTAAATTTTTTTCTACATATGAAATGGCTAAGAAACTGATACCAATAGTAATGTGAAATCACTGTAAACTCTAGAACATAGTAAACAATCTTCATACAAAACAAAAGCGTTTCAATCAGATATTTTATGTAATTCTGTAAAAATGCCAATAACAATTTGTATAGTCGAAAATAACAAAATCACATCGTCTACATCAAAATCTTCCGACAGAATTTTTTTAGATTAGATTAAAATCTAGTCTAAATAATTCTACTGCTGTTACGCTGCTGTGACTACTGCTGATGACAACATCACCAGTCTAGACTCTGTTATAGAACAAATAAACAAGTAATTTAGAAACTAACCGTTCCGATTTCGAAAAGAATGTCGTTGAATCATTAACCTCTAATATGTCACTATTAACAATTTTATTAATATTTAACGAAATAATTCAAAATTAAATTTTGTATCTCAAAACAGTTTTAAAATTCATTTTTTATTCTTATTTCAGGTCTTTCTTTTACTTCACCACCGACAAGTGGCAAATTATTTCCCAGCAGTAACAGAGTTCAAAATGAAATGAGGTTCTTAATTTAAGTATTTTTTTTGTCATAAGGATATTAATTATGTGATTTAGATTATTATTTTTTTAATCTAAAGATTTTACTTTCGTACTAAGCCCAAGTATGCTACTTTTGTCAATGTTGACTACCAAAAGGCGATAAATAATTCTATCAGAGATATGTTTGAATAGTTGAATATTTGCAATAATCTTCGCGTAAATAAACAAAAAACTAAAATAATATAATTTTTTAACAAGAATGGTAAATCCTGTTATTTGTCTATATAGAATGGTAACGAGGCCATTACTGAATGAACTACAACTAACAAATTTTCTTGGGATAGTGCTGAATTTAATGCTCAGTTAGGCTATTTTTACATTATATATTTTTAATTAACTTTTAAGCTTTTAACAAATTACATATATATTTTTCCATTTAAATCATTTAAACATTATTAATTTGACTTATATAATTGACTATTGTAGTTTTTTTTTTTTACAATTTATTTGTTTTTCAAGCCTCTGAAGCAATACGCTTGTACTTCATCCTACTTTTAGTACTTATATTGCTAACAATAGGGCTATTAGACCACATTGCTAACAATTTATTTTCTCCCCTATCCGTGGTGTTGTAATTACTTCAATCATCAACTTGTTTGTTTTAAAGAAAAACAAAAGATAAGGAAATTCTGCTGAATAATTTCTAATAGACAATTATAGATGTAACATAGTATATATCATATTTGTAAACATCATTTAGTCATCTACAATTGCTTGTTTACATAAAATATAATTTGAGTCATTCTTATAAATGATTCAAATGTTATCAAATTTTCAAAGAACTTAAATATTAGGCAGCGTTTAAGAATGACACCACAATATTTCCAACAGCATTCTGTTAATGATTTGCCGTAACTGCTATCGGCTAAACTTTCCAAAGTGCATTAGTCGTTAAAGACGTCAGATACGGTTGCTTCATATTTTATATAAACATCAATAGTTAATATGATTTTAAACAACTGTTAGACTTTTAAATTATCAAGTAAGTATGCAATTCAATAATATTGTAGATTATATTAGTGCAAACATACACCAGACATGTCTATTTATTCTATAAACTGAGTCATCTATATTCAAAAACACCCACCTGAACATAAAAGAAATAAAATCGACAATACCTATAGAGACAAGTCATATGTATTTTAAATTAGGCATTACCAGTTCTAGAAGTTATTATTATTTTTAATAAAAAAATATTTTTCGTATATTTAGGCACATTGAATAATGTGTGTCAAGTATTTACGAACTTAAATAGCAAAAGAATATTTTTACAAGTATAAGCATTTTAGTGTCTATAGTTATATACGTACAGAATATACTATAGCAAACTAGATGTTGCCCGCGGCTTTGTACGCTTGTTGCCTTATTTCCCCTTTATGTTGAAAATTTAAAAGTTCTAATATATATATATATATATATATTAGAACTTTTAAATTTTCAATATAAACATCAATATATATATATATATATATATATATATATATATATATATATATATATATATATATATATATATATATATATATATATATATATATGTAGCAAATTTTAGTTTTATAGATATAGTAATTTTGACTGTGCGTTGATAATCAGTCAGGACAAACAATTTTATATATACAGATAAGGATACTTACGCGTGCGTTTACTCGCACGCGTAAGTACGCCCTCAATGACTTCCTTAATGTAATGATGATAGTCACTAATTGTCATTTTTCCGTTCCGCCAAACATTAAGGTAGTGGAATTTTTATAGTCTAATTACAAAATAACAAATTAATCACCAGTACAACGATGCTTCAAAACTAGACACCAAATCATAATTTGTCACAAAAAAATGTTATTATGAAATTATGTAACAACTTATACCTTGACTGAATATAAAAAACACGAGATCACTAAAATTTAGGTAGAAAAGTACAGGAATATTAGAAAGAACTAAATAATAAGGTGAGATGTGGATAAAACTTAAAATTACCTAATAGAGTTATTTAAATATAACTATCGGCCAGGATCTCAAATTCATCCCTTTAAAATACATATATTAGCATTAAAGTTTCCTCCCATAGATTATGTAACAAGGCAAAACAGTAATAAAAGAGCCTCGATGGTAAATCAGTACCGAAATATACCTGTCGGAAATAGAAGAATACCTTTATAGTATCTCATAACATCATTCAATTTCTTTTTTTATCTTCTTATTGCGTAGTCAGAGCGTTATGTGCTGATAGTATTTTATTTCTTTTCGCGATTGTAATGCAAATAAAATTTATTTCATTCATTCTTAAACTGTTATCATATTTGTTTGTAGTGGATGTTTTCGAAAAAAGCACGTATGTAGTATGTATGTATGTATGTATGTAATAAACGTGTGTAGATTCGATGCCGCGGCGATGAACAATCTCACAGCGAATTGGTGCGTAGGCGACCGCCTACTCCCAACCGCTTGATAACATACGTTAATGGAGATAAAAAAAAATATAAGCAGTATGTGACTAACTTATTTTTACAGCACCGGAAACGACTTGCTTTAATATTTCATATTTTTGTGTGAAAAATATATATTCCGTAATATATATTTTTCCTTTTTCAGAACGCAAAACATTTATCACATAGGTAGTTTTTAGTCATTTTGTTTATAAGTATATTTTTATAACAAGAGTTAAAATATTTATTTGAGGTATACAAAAATCAGTCACTTAGAAAGTAACTAGCTGAAAAAGCGGTTAGACTCCAAGTCGGGCTAATATCCAGTATGCTGTCAAAAGTCATCGAAAATAGCTCTGACATTCTTATACCGGTCGCTTCAATCGCGTAAATAACATTAATTCACACATACCATCGCCAAGCACCTTACAACACAGTCTCTGGCCTTGCAAAATCTTACATAGAATATTTCACTCCTGGCTTCATCATATCATTAATAGATTATTATTTGGGGCGGAATACAGTATGGACAATAATTTCAACTGTCAATAATTATTACGCCGCGTAATCCGCGTGATTGATGAACGCCAACAGTAGCCGGGCGATCGAAATATAATTGAGACAACCTATTGTGCTCCGCGGTTTGATTGATCGGTAATCGCCAACCAGGTACCTATAGTTGCGTCACTGAAAATAAATCCACACTCTTAATTAGATTTTGTCTTAATAATATCCATTGCATATGATGCAACTAAATAAATAGCCACTACTCGGTTATAAACAAAATGCGTAAGCCTCCTCGAAATTTATAGTTACAATATCTTCATTGTTGCTGAAATTTCTCCAAAAATATTAAAATATTACATGTATATAGTGCACATTGCTACAACATATTACGGTTGTCGTCATAGACTTTCATATAACTTGAAACCTTAAATGTATATCCCTGGCTTAGGTGTTAGTTAGGCATCAAGAGTAGAATCAGCAACAATTACCGCGGTAACGAGTGCGCGAGGCGTCGCGGCGTGCGCCTGCGCCGGCGATTGTTTACGGCGCGCACGCGCGGCGGCGGCGCGTGTCCCCCCGCGCCCCGCCGGCAGCTGCTCCGCACAGGTGGCGCGTGTGGGAACTCGACGGCTCTCTGCGTTCCCACGATCGTGCGCCCTCCGCTCCCTATATAAACCCCCGCTCAAGCCGCTTCACCGCATTCCGCGTTCAACGCTCGGCGCTAACGCACGCTTATACACAACACACGTAATGTCCAACATGTCTTATGAGATCGCGTATTCGCTCGCAGACGATGGCCCGCAGCCCGTCTCGCGTACTTACCAATATCGCAAAGTGATGAAACCGATGCTTGAGCGCAAAAGGCGCGCTCGCATTAATCGTTGCCTCGACGAACTCAAGGATCTGATGGTCAACGCATTGCAATCGGAAGGAGAAAATGTTGCTAAATTGGAGAAAGCCGATATATTGGAGCTGACAGTTCGACATTTGCACAAACTACGCCGTCAACGCCGTTTATCCCTCAACCCTTCAGCAGATGTGGATCGCTTCAGGGATGGATTCACTCATGCCGCTAACGAAGTTTCCCGCTGTTTAGCTTCCATCCCCGGAGTGGATGTGAGGTTGGGCACGCAACTAATGACCCATCTCGGACATAGACTGAATGATATGCAGCGGGCGGCTGCTGGAACTGACACACCTCCAGCGAGCCCGCCAAGCCCTGCACTCTCCACTACATCATCTTCGTCTGGCTATGTATCACCCTCACCGCCAACGTCACCGATGCCCATCCATAGCACACCTTTGGACTGCACTACCAACAGCACCTTCACGAAAGCATCAGCTGTGTGGCGACCGTGGTAAACATCGGTGCTAGGAACTAGCGGACCCGGCTCCGCGGTCACATCTGTTCCAGCACCGCTCGGAGTCGCTTACAGTTTTTTTGAGTTCGCGAAGATCCATAAGTTTAGTGTTGTTCATGTGACAAGTTGCTGACAACTCTAGATCTCAACATTTAATTATTGTAGCGATTATTGTAGTTCGTAAGTTCAACTTGAAAGCTTTAATGAAAGTAGCCTATAAGTCTATTGTGATATTAAAGAGTAAATATTATTGTATAAGAAATGTTGTATCGAACCTTCCCGAGGTCGTATTGTTATATTTTTATCGTTGAAAAGATTTCACAAATGTGTGAACAAAAGAGTAAGTTAATAAAAAAAACATATTTTTAATGTATTTCTGTATTTCATTAACACCGCCCGTTAAAAATATACCTTTAATAATACTAGTAAAGAATAAACGTTCAAAGACATAAGATCCAAAATATCATCTATATACAAAAACAAAATTGAATGATACAATATTTATACTTGATGACGAAGTTAAACTCGATAACAATACAGTATTAAGATAAGCTGATTCCAAAAATAAATGGCGCTATAACTGGAATATTTGAAGTATTAATTAATTAAAATTTGGATATTACTGAAAACAAGATAAACAAAATATCACGCCTAGTGTAGATAAATTATTGAAAGAGGTTACGGTCAAGCCCTCTGACGCTGGGTCAGCTAACTGGGTAACTTTCCTGTTAACGGAATGTAACATATTCACTCTCATTAGGTCTGTACTGATAGCTACTTGTAGAGGTACTAAAACACTTATTATATTGATAAAATAATTAGCACATTAAAATGTGTAAACTTTACAAGTCACTTAGTTCTCAAACAACTACAAATTTCAATCTATCACTGGGTGTAATATATCTCATTTTATTACGCATAGTTAGCATATCCCTTGTTTGCATACTGGTGGAAATTTCCATCATAATATTGAATGCCTAAAAATTATATAAAAGAACAATTTCACATTAAGTTGATCGTGTCTGGATACCTTTTCAATGTCCATTGCAGAAAAAAAACTATAGCCGAAAATTTTTTTTTCCTTTAATTTTGAACATAAATTATATCACCTTGATTTATTTCACCAATAAAAAAAATCATGCAAAGAAGGGATATTCATATAGTTTTCAATTTTGTTCATAACAATCTTAGAATTCAGGAAATTGGAAATAAAAATAATCTACTACTTTAGAGATAACATGTTTCTGTCTGTGCATAAGAAATTGTTGAATTAGTCTTCAACGAATTTTATTTTATAAATCATCAATAAAGAATAAATCTGCTGTATCGTTTGTTTGTTTGAATTTTTTAGTATATTCTACGAAGCATTATTAGTAATTCTGAACTAATTTTCGTAATTATTTGCAATATACATTCAATAGAGTTTACTATTAATAGTAAATTTCATCATCATGATTAAAGTAACTTGTTTATTTAGATCAAAATCTTAAATTACCTAAATCTTAAATAACTTTATAAAGAAATCATCCTAATCAATAACTTTATATATCAAATCAATAGAAAATAGGTTTTATATATTATTCAGGGACTACTACTAAGTACACTTATTTAACGTAAGTGCAAACGTATGTTGATAAGGTTGAAAGTTATGTTTAAAAATATTACGTTTTAGTTTGAATCGTAGTTCTTTGAATTTTCAATAATAGAAGTTTAAATTTAAATTACATAACATACATTCAACAGCAATAAGGAAATTAAAATATAAATACTTAATTGTAGTACATCTTTTCTAAATTCAAAATTCTATATATGATTATATAAAGATACATATATAGTAAAAAACAACTGTAATCAATCCTGACTTTTGTAGTCATCTGAAACACTATTCCTCTAAAATGAAAAATTTAATTTGATAGATTTAAAACTAATGATATTAGTTTTTACTTTTTTTTTTATTTTTACTGGTCTTAATAATAATAAGTTTGCTGTAATAGCAACAGAAATTTAGAAATAGAGAATTACTCTTTAGAATCGAATACAATTTATTTCAATTGATGGTAAAATTAAAATTACCAACAAGGAAAAATAATTAAAACGTCATTTAAAGATTTTTATGATACAAAATCAATACTGCTACCGCCATCTAGCGTAGTTGAAAATACTAGAATACAGAATTGTAGCGCCATCTAACGAAAAGCTCTGGAGCAAAAAATATTTTATGCTCTCCTGTGTAAATACAAAGTGAATGGTTGCGCAGTGTCTTGTGCTTTAACTGAATTTACGCCTCTTAACTCTGCTTAACAAACCTTTAAAATAGGATTCACTTTATAATTAATATTGAATTGTATTGAGCTTTTTCGATTTTCATTGTTACCTTCTGTGTGTTTTACGAAGTATTTATAAAACTAATAAGTTTATTAAGGAAGTTCCAGTTGCATGCTCTGTTAATTAAATATTATATTATATAAAACAAAATATAATAATATTAAACAAAATTATTCTAATCAAATAACCAATGATAAGAACTTCCGCAAGATAACACCTAGTTCAATAAAATATTATTATATACTACCTTCACACGAGTAGATAGATAAATTTCTATTTTATATAAGCTTTTATATATAATCGTTTTTTTTTTTTATATTTTGGGTTACATTATATTAATTTTCGGAGAGAACTCTAATTTTTACGAAAATAATATTAATATTTTTGCAATTGAGTTTTCTTTAGTTTGCCCGACAATAGTAAAATAACCTAATCCTGTAATTATTATTATACTGTATTTGTAAAGCTTCGAAAACCACATGCAAGTGTTTAACTGAGTCACAGTACTCGTCGTTCCATAGAAATACCTTTGGACTGTAGTATTCTTCAGACAGACAATTTTTCAGAAGACTCGATATTAGTAGATTATTACCAAAAGGGGGTTGAACATTTTTTACCACAGCGTGTGTAAATATTATAAGGTATATTTTATAAATATAATATAAACAATTGGCAATTTACAAAGAATTCATAAGCGTGTGTCATAAAGTGACGTTTCTATCCGATTCTGATGTACCTCCAAGTATTAAATTTATTGCAACAAATGCCTATATCTTATGCAGAAAATAACTAGTTGCTATGTGTTCGAAGAGTAATTTAGCCTTCCTGCTCCTTATCGGTTACCAATAAACATGAATATTCATCGTTTCTTCCTACGAGGTCTGTCCGGAAAGTTCGTATAAAAGTGTTCTGGAATGCGAGAAAGAGGAGTGGGGAGGCCAGGTAAGCGCAGGACCCCTTCCTTATGTCCCTAACAATGCTTCAGTTCTGGTCTGACCGCCGTGCGGTGCGAACTGGCTTGTCACGCCATCTGTGAAGTTACCTCTTAACGAAACCCCGTCGGCATGGAGCCCGCTTCCGTTGAAGAGCAGCGCGTCGTAATCAAGTTTCTCTCGAAACTCGGCAAGAATGGCCGTGAAATTTTTGCCGATCTCAGAACAGTTTATGGGGATGATGCTGTGAAGGAACCAACCGTCCACAAGTGGCTAAAAAGATTCAGAGAGGGCCGAGAAAGAGTTCGATGTTCGGGGGATTGTCCATCAAGAATTCGTCCCTCCAGGCCAGACAGTTGATGGAAAATTCTACGTCGATGTGCTCAGACGCCTCAAAGCTCGTGTGGCACGAGTTCGTCCAGAATTGGCGCGAGAGGGGCGTTGGATTCTTCACCACGACAATGCCCCTGCCCACACCTCTCTTGTTGTCCGTGAGTTTTTGAGTAAAAATTCCATTACGGTGACCGAACACCCCCCCTATTCGCCGGATTTGGCCCCGTGTGACTTCTTCTTGTTCCCAAAAACCAAATTGGTACTTCGGGGGCGGCATTTGGGGGACATAAATGAGATAAAAAAAGCTACGACGGGGCAGCTGAGAAACCTACAACCAGAGGACTTTCAAGGAGCCTTCTCACAGTGGAAACGGCGTTGGCACAAGTGCATTATGTCACAGGGGGAGTACTTTGAAGGGGATAAAATTGATTTACCTGAATAATTGTAAAATAAAATTTTTAAAAAACTTTTATACGTACTTTCCGGACAAACCTCGTATTGCATCATATGTACGGCTAGTGGGAGATAACGCGACGTTACGATACTGTCATATAACATATAGGCATGACAATTATTTAATTTATTTATTTATTCTTTATTGAGCAATTTGCAAAAAAAATGTCTGGTACAAAAAGCGGACTTAATACTATATAGCATTGTCTCCCAGTCAACCTTTGGGAAAACGGAAATGTAATAATGCGAAATATTGAAAATTATTGTAGATAAATAATTACACATACGTATCCATATTAACTTAATTCTTCACCATATACATACATTTTTCTTTATGAACTCGATATCTAAATCTGTTTCTATCATCATCATCATCATCATATCAGCTGTCAACTGAACATAGGCATTAAGAAGGGTTTTGCCAATGATTACCACGTTTGTCAGACGAATTGGATTTTGGTGATAATTTAAGAGGAACGCTACTGCCATCCCTCGACTATTAAATTTATTAGGCGCCCACGAAAAATAAAGGGGTGACCCATTCTATGTTGGGACCACACGGCAAAATTTATTTTTATACTATCATAAAAATTTAAGGACTCTGCCAAGATAAATATAACATTGTGGTAACACACTGGTCTTTTTATTGAAACTTCTTTGTGGCCATAATGTAAATTTATGTCTGGCCACATATATACGTTGATATTTTTTATACGGTTTTTGTTTCTATTCAATATATATATGTATATGTTGTTGTTCTAAAGAATATTATTTTTCACTGTGACCCTCTACACTTTTTGTATGAACACATTAGTCCGATGAACTATCTAAGGTATGCAGTGGAACCAACGTCAACTACTCGGATTAGTTGACGTCGGTTCCACTGCATATAACAATTAATATATCGTCATAGTCGTAAAATACTGACGGATCTGACAAATATTAAATATACATATCCGTCAGTATTCTACGACTATGACGTGATATAACTGTATAATAATAAAAAAATATTTTACTTTGGTCGTTTTGCCATATTACCGATGATTATACTTATCGATAAAGGCAAGTTGTGACTTACAACGATAATTTTAATATAGTTTTTTTTAATTAGATAGCGACGTGTCTGCAGTTACATATCTAATACTAACAATCCGCCCCGGTTTCGCATGGATAGATATTGGTATAGAAAGATAAATTAGTATTTTATATTAAGTTTAATAGGCAAATTTTTGATACTTTGTGTTAAATAGTTAGTATCTCTAATTTTTTTTTATTAATATATAGCCCATGTTACTTGCTAATAATGTAAAGTTTTTTTTTTTTAAATTGA